AATTATGAATAGTTTCCACTTTAGATTGGGTACTGCAAAAACATGAACAAATGATTAATGGATAATTTGTTAAGATGTGTGAATAAAGGTCTACACAACAAACAAAGACCAACAAATGAAGATCATATGAACTGAAAGTTTACTGACATTTGTTAGTATTTCAATTTACATTAATCATATGTTAATCATTAGGTAATATGGTAACACTTTATTTTAGGTTCTCTTAACTAGTTGCTTATTAGCATGCATATTACTAGAATTTTAGCCATTTATTAGTACTAATTAAGCACATATTAATGGCTTATTTTACATGACCTTATTCTACATCCCTAATCCTACCAAATACCTAAACTTAACAACTACCTTACTAACTATTAATAAGCAGCAAATTAGGAATTTATTGAGGGAAAAGTCGTAGTTAATAGTGAATAAGTGTTCCCTGTTCTAAAGTGTTACCTCAGTTTCTAATTCTAGAGTATTTAAGAGGTGCAAAGAAAAAAAAATAACTTAAAATGGTCTTTTCTGTTCTGTGTTTCTTTTTAAAAAACTGCATCACGGCATTTGCTGCTGTATCAATACAGAAGCATCCGTTTCAATACACGTATCAGCAAGGAGCACAGCCCTATTTTAAAGCTGTGTTCTGTGTGCTCCTTTTATACTTTGAGCACCTGCCCCTTCAAAGGTCTCTGCACGGCCCTGGTTCGGATTAACATTAAAATATAGGAAGACCCATGTTTTTCTTTTCCCCTCTCATAGTTTAAACTGGATTCCCATATACAAGGACAACCTGCATACTAACACCCCGTACAGTCCAAACCATAAGTCATTATCTCAAATTAATCACCACAGATGGAAAGGTACAAATTTATGTATTCCTCCAATCTATTAGACTGAAAAAAGTGGTAAAAAAGAAACGCTTACATTTGGTCAAACAATCTATATGACTTGATCATCTATTAGTCTTGGCTTTATTTTCAAATGTTAACAAACATGCAGAGAGTTGGCATGGTTAGAAACCAATCATATGTCTACGGTGACTTGAAAAGAGATTTGCCCACGCTTTTTTGGTTCCAAACTTCTCAACGCTTGGGTCAATCTGCATCATCCCCACTAGTGTTGCCTCAGCCAAACCTTACCAGTCCGAACCTAATTATGCCATCCCGTCTGTTGTGTTGCATCAAGTTGTCATGTACCAGGAGTTGAAAATGCGTAAGTATGTGTTTTAGTTAATTGAAAATTTGTTTGCTAAATCATTTATATACTTTAATTTTGTAACACCCCTGTGGACTGTTTGTTGTGGTTTCTTCCCCTTTTGTTGGTTTAGCCCGTTCAATCATTAGTTAATTACTCTATGTATCTCTTTCTGCTTGTTTCTCTCTGACTCCGTATCTGTCTTTCCTGCCAGACTGTCTTGTATATGCTCACACAGACCCCGTTTTGGATGTTGCGAGGCCAGTGTGAGCACTCTGTTGGCTGGAGTTTGTGCTGGACAACGTTCTGAAGGCAGATTTTTGCCAAGTGTTAATGGAGGTTAAAAAGAAACAAACAGACTGAAACATTTCTAAACAGATAGATCACAGTTCTGAGAACTAAAAAAATAAACCACAGGGGAAGTATGTCTGTCAGGTGGCAGGAAATGAGGGTGCCAGAACCAAATGTATGGAGACAGATCAGGCTCATTAATACTTCACACAAAAAACACCATGCACACACATATAGCCAATTTCACATCAATGAAACCTAATTCACTTGCACAGAAAACAATTAATGTGCATGAAAAAAATAAAAATACATTAAAATAGCAATTCACATGCGCAAAATAAATTATATATTTATAAAATATTTTCACTAATGCAAAAACAGTACAGTATGCAGTGTTAAATTATTACACACTTATTGTTTCCCCACATTTTTCAGGATTAAACACATTTGGCGTGACATCTGGATAGCAGTCACAAACATCTTAATTCATATTATTTATTTATTCTCTTTTATACTTTATGTATTAATATCTTAATATATCCAATATACATTTACTTATGGTCTGTGTTGTATTGTCATCTCAGGCTTTTTTTTATTTATTTTTTTTGTCACAGGACAATGGTGTGAATCATTATTTGGTAACACTTTACAATAATGTTTCATTTGTTAACATTAGTTGTGTTAACTAACATGAACCATGAGCAATACATTTGTTATAGAATTTATTGATCTTTGTTAATGTTAGTTAACAAAAATATAGCTATTTATTGTTTGTTGATAGTTCACAGTGCATTAACTGATTTGAACAAATACAACTTTTGATTTTAATAATGTATTAGTAAATGTTGAAATTAACAAAGATTAATAAACACTGTAGAAATACAGTTTATTAGTAGTACATGTTAATTGTTAAACTAAAGAAACCTAATTTTAAAGTGTTAACCATTAATTTTACTCAGCCTGGTAAAAACAAACAAACAAACACACACAAGTTTGTTTTTGTGAAAAGTGGGGACATCCCATAGGCGTAATGGTTTTTCTACTGTACAGACTGTATATTCTATTGCCCTACACCTAAACCTACCCCTCACGGGAAACTTTGTGCTATTTCAGATTTTCAATACACTCCATTCTGTGTGATTTATATGCGTTTTGAAAAGTGGGGACATGGGGTAATGTCCTAAAAAGTCACCTTCTCCTTGTAATACCTATGTCATACCCTTGTCATTATACAAATTTATGTCCTCATTTGTCACAAAAACGCACACACACACACACACACACACAAAAAGTACACCCAAAGTGACATTGCTGACAGTACAAACTGATGCATCTCAAGAAAGTAAAGGGAGACAGCAGTCTAAAGTAAGTCTCTGCTGGAACCGGTTGTGCTCAACTCTGGGGGTCCGTGTTATTAGCGTGATGTGGACCGTCCTGTTCGTTGATGGTGTGCAGATGGAGGCAGACTGGAGGTCGCTGATGCTCTCTTTGCTCTAGAGGCACATCTGAGGCAGCCAGGTCCTGTTCCTCATCCCCCGAACCACGAGGAGGGCTGCCGCCGCCGCGGAGGTTGCAGCTATCACAGAAGTCCTGCTCCTCGAGCACCCCTCCATCCGTGTGCCCTACAAGCTCTTTCATCTCCTCCTCTCCATCCCCGGGCCCTTGGTTGCAAACGCATACCTCAATCCCAGAGTCGCCTGTGAAGCGCCGGTGGCGTCCTGGAGTCTTGTCTTCGCTGTCGGGAGAACGGTCTTCTACGGGTTCAGTCAGATCCTCGCCCGAGCTGCACTGTTTGATGGGGCTGTGTGAGGTAGCGCACGCTACCTGCTGGGGCTGCCCGTCCTCTCCTCGGCTGAGGTACTGTGCTTTGTGGGTGTTTCTGACAGGGCGGTGTGCAGTGGGAGTATGTGGCTGCTCTACACAGGGTCCCAGGGAACAGTTCTCAGATGCAGACAGGACGACGGGGCTGGACTGCAGTGGAGGGCAGAACTCATCTGGTTGTTCAGAGCACAGGGGGTCAATGCTGGTGGACTGGCCTGGCTGAGAGGCACTGTACGGAGGCGGGGGCGTCGGAGGTCTGTTCTCAACTTCCTCGTATGCCGGTAAGAGGTAGCCAGACAGGAACCCTGGAGAAGAGGACGAAGAAATGCATTTATTGACTGACCGTGACTAAAGCATGCATTTCTTCTAAGGGGCAATGAACAGATCAAGTAGTAGCTCTTCCAAGCTGTTAATAACTTGATTCAGATATTATTGTTAGCTATTTACAGACAGTTTTCACCGATCTGCATACTTACATTTTATCCAACTTGTACTGCTTTGTTGGGCATTCTATAATAACACATAAATGTACCCAATCTATCTCTGTTTACTATTCCACTTACATTATTGTATATTTTAAAATATATTTCATTGTACACTCTTAGAAAAAGGTTATAGAACCTTTTTATAAGAGTTTACATTGCACATAACTATAACCAGAGATGCAAACAGGTAAGGGGGAAAAAGGTGAGAACATTGCGCGGATTGGGGGCATGCTCCACACGGAATTTCTTTTAAAGATATTTGCTTTACATGCTCATTTGTAGTAACTTTAAGGTATTTTAAAAAATATTTTTATTACCTTATATGTCCAAAACTGTAATTTTTCACAAAATTAAAATTAACATTTTGTTGCAACATTATACAAAAATCAAGATTTAATATATTTGGTCAAAATCCTATGTTATAAAAGATGAAGTGCTATGCAGGCTATTTAAGACAATATTGGCTGATTAGACGGCAACGCCGACCAAAAATGCAAAATGTCTCTCTTCAACGTTCCCACATCTCAGACCTAAAATATATAAAATATTACCCTTTTTAGACACAGTTTCTGAAGTAAAGAGTAAAGTAAATACTATACAACCAGGGGCCAGTCGCATAAACTTAGCCACCATATTACTAGTTTGACCAACTAGCAGTTGCCAAGGGGTAATCAGTCTTACTTTTCCAATACAAATAAGACCAATCTACCTTTTCATAACTGAATTAAAAAGTTATGACCAGTCTTGAAGAAAAAAATAGATGGCTAACCTTTTAAGACTAGTCTAAACAAGTTTATGCAACCAGCCCCAGTTCTTTATTTACCCCTGTAAGATCACAAGTACCCTTGTAAGACCCCTCCCCCCTCATAAAAACACTTTCTCATTGGATCTAAACAACTATTGCCCTACACCAACCCTACACCTAAACCTACCCCTCACGGGAAACTTTGTGCTATTTCAGATTTTCAATACACTCCATTCTGTGTGATTTATATGCGTTTTGAAAAGTGGGGACATGGGGTAATGTCCTGAAAAGTCACCATCTCCTTGTAATACCTATGTCATACCCTTGTCATTATTTATACAAATGTCCTCATTTGTCACAAAAAACACGCACACACACACACACACACACACGCTTTTATGTTGATCAGACTAAGGCATACTGATCATACTCTACTTTAAAAGAAAAGACTGAAACCTGACCGAAACACTACAAACATCCCTGGTCAGTCATGAAGTGGAATTGTGGTTCCAGCAGAATGGCCTATGACTGAAGAACTTAGCCCAGCTTCAAACTGTTAGTCAGCCAATCTCACAATTATGGAATAGACATATATTTTTCTGTACTAAATGGTGTATACTTGAGATTGTCAGTTCATGATCTTCATATGTAACAGGAACAGTACAATTAATCATGGACAAGTCATTTCATATAGATTTTATTCCCAAAGGATTCAGAAGCTTTCAAATTAATAAAACGTATACATCGACTGTAGCGCTCTTTTAATTGAATGTTTATCTTTTAATTCTGACATAAAACAAGAATGTTTAATAATTCATAGCAGGGCTTTATTCCTTTATTCCTATTCGATTCTCACTATTAACTAGTTGCTAGTTAGCATGCCAATTATTAACATATTGGCTGTTTAATAGTACTTATAAAGCACTTATTCTGCATGACCATATTCTACATCCCTAATCTTACCCAATAAACTTATCAACTACCTTTACTAACTACTAATGAGCAAATTAAGAGTTTGAGGCAAAAGTCGTAGTTAATGGTTTGTTAATAGCGAGAATTAGACCTTAAAATAAAGTGTGACCATATAGTATACAGGATACAAATGAATACAGTAACAATGCATGTCTTTCAACCTCTTGTTGAAACAACTGTCAAAATGGATGGTTTGCAACATGACTGTTTTAAAAGAATTACAGTATGAATGATAAGGTCAAGGTACTGGTTGTCTCTGCAACTTCATTCATCATCTGCCTCGGAAATCGGAAACAATAAAACTACGTATATATGCAACTTTAAACAAAACATAGATGAAACGTACATGGTTTCCAATATATGCATGTCATTACATACATTATCATCATCGGACCCACTTTATATTAAGTGGTCTTAACAACTATGTACTTACATTTAAATTAATAATTTGGTACAATGCACTTATTGTGTACATACATGTTTTTACATTGTACTTATATTTAAAAAATACCTGCATGTAATTACATCTGTAATTAATTTCTGTAATTACATTTATAATTACACAGTTAACCCACCTTTAAACCTACCCATACCAACAAACCTGCCCCTAACCTACCCGTATCCCTCCTCAATAGCAGCAAAAGTGTTTTGCAATACAATATGAGCACAATAAGTACATTGTACTTAATTTTTGATGTAAGTACATGGTAGTTAGCGCGCTGCTAATTCTCCCACCACCTCTACTCCGTGTGTTTCT